ATTAACTATTAATAAAATGTTGATATAACAGTGAATCAAATTTATATAATTACACATGTTACTAATTTTAAATATTAATCATAAAATAAATAATATAAAAATACCAAGTAACTCATAATTGATCAAGCTTAAGGAAGGTTAAGTCATTTGAATTTGAAAACCAGATGGCTAAGCTATATTTTATAGCATGATTAGCTTGATTTGCAAGTCAATACAAACGGATCGATGACAACTGATTAAAAAAAGGTGTAAAGTACACAAATGATCCTCTGACTATAGGACACTACTTTGTTGAGTCCTCCAACTATTAAAAGTTAAAAAAGTGATTTTCTAACTATAAGACGTTACTTAATTGAATCTCGTGACTATTAAAAGTTACAAAATGGTCACTCAACTATTCATATGTTATGAACTCGTTTTTTACCTTAAAAATTGACATTCGTCTGAGTTGGATGTTAACTTGCTTACTTGGATATGATAAAACTATATTTTAATGGTGTCTACTGACGTTGTCGTTGCTTTTGAGCACTGACTCGATATCATAATATTTCAAGAACTAGCTCGACGACCACCGATAGATGTATGTTGAACCTAGGGTGTGCACATGCCCACTCTAAAATCCAAATTCTTTATGTTAGTTGTTTATTTTATAAAAGTTGTAACACCTCGAAATTTTCCCCAATTAAAAATCCTTAAAATTTGGGGGAAAATCCAAAATCCCTGAATCAAACACAATGACCAAATTACCGTTAATTTTAGGGATTTTTGAAATCCCAATTAAAAATCCACTAATTTTGAATTAACTCGAATTAAGATAATTGACTGTGGGTTAGTGAAAATAGTAAATTTAGTTTGACTTTATTACCTCGATAGAATATTAATTATTATTATTTTTGGTGTAGGAGCTGATTCGGTACGACCCACTGTTTGAGCTGACTGTGGGAAATATTACGTTCGTTGTTAGAGTTATTTTGTCGATGTGTGTCTCTATTCAATGCTATATTTATTTTGGTTCGTTGCTTGTTTGCTTGGTTGATTGGAATTTTAATTGAAACATGTTTGATTGTGAAAATTAATTGTGTTAAATGTAATTCAAAAAAATGTCATGTGATGTATGTTGATATGTCAGAATCAAAATATATGTTGTGCATTCAGAACATTTGATTGTACTGAAGTTTCGGAATCGAAATATATGCTTTGGAATATTTGATTATGTGACTTTTACATTCGGATCGGATTCAGATATGTACATCATGTTTCCATTTCATACTAGATTTGGATTCATAGAGGAAGTTCAGTTCATTCATTCGATAGAGTGAATGTCACTTCAGATTTAGTGGTCTCTGTCTTTGTGATAGACCCCACTTCAAATGGTGTGATTCTAGTTAAAGTGGTTTTGGGGAACCTACTCTTCGGATGGTGTGAAAGGTGTATGAGTCCATTTACATTTGCATTTCATTCAGACCATGAATAATATGACTCGAACTGTGAACATATTTGTGTTTTGAACTTGTTTTTCTGATTCCACTCTATAGACACGCTAAGTTTAATAGCTTACACCCTAATAATTTCTCTTTCAGATACCCATATTTAGGTGATCTGATATTTGGAGGTTTACATAATTTATTTTAAGAAAAAACATTATTTTGAGTATGGAATGTTATTCGGATTTATTATTTTGGGTTTATATTTGTAACTTTATGTTGGGATTATTATTATTATTTGTGTAATTTGGTACTTTAGAAATCACAATTAGTTTTGGATTGTTCATGCATGACTTTTCAAATATTTATCATTTATGGAGTTTTATTCGGATAATTATCTTTTATAAGATATTTGAAGTTTGAACTAGTGGAATATTTACATAATTTTAAAACTATTTTTTAAGTTTTAAATCAATTACAAATTTCGTGAGGGATAAGTTTCAATGTATGCTCTTTGGATTCGATATAATTTTTCTAGATCAGGTTTAGGGGTTTTAATTTAGTGGTATCAAAGTCCGATTCAATCCTCGGAATATGGAGCTTCACCGCAAAATTTTTAATCTAAAACGACTTTTGCATGCATATAAATATTTTTGGGTAAAAATAAAAATTTTTGAAATAAAAATTATTTCTTCTTCTTTTTCCTATTTTGAAAAGGTAAATAAATATTTTTATTTGGAACTCAAAGTACCAATTTTAATCTTAGGATTTTGTCTTTCCGTAGATAGTCTAATATGCCACCACGTAAAAAGCTCCCAAATAGCGATCGACCAAAGTCAATGTCAGTTTAGACATCGATCGGATGTAGTGAATAAGATAGACCTATTGGCTCTGAGTCTACTAGTAAGGGTATACCAACTTAGAGTATAGGTTCAGCTGGATCAACGGTGTGGCAGCCAAATTTAGTATATTTTACTCAAAGACATGGGGAATTGGGGATCAAGATAAACCAGATAATATTGCGAGTATTTTCTTTATTTGTTTCATTTTCATTCTAGTAAATTTTGAGGTCTAAATATTATTTAAGGATGGAAGAATTATAACACCCGAAATTTTTTATAATTAAAAATCCTAAAATTTGGGGAAAACTCAACTTCATAAATCCCTAAATCGAACATAGTGACCAAATTGAAAAAATTGTAAGGTTGTAGCTCATTCCGTAAACCTTATAAAATTCAAGGATTAACTCTATATTTGAACAATTTTTATTTGATTTCAATCATAACTCTAGCAAATAAAACACGAACGATCGCTTCATTATATTCTTTTCCCTTATTTCTTCTTCACATCGTCGCTGCTCTCCACCATCGTCATTCCCCGCCGTCGGTCGTTGAAGTTAGGTCATCAGTAAGAACCCTCTTTCCGTCGTGAGCCCTTCTAGGTGAGTTCGAAAAGAGCAACACTGGTTCTCTCTCTAGTTTAACAGAACCAACATCAATTTCCTTGTCGTTGCACAATCGTCGTCCCATCCATTCACGACTGTTGAGGTGCTCGGTTGGTCGCACCCTCGCCGGAGAAGGCCTTTACAGCCGAGTTTCTTGACTGGCCGACCTTGGCAGACCATGAAAAGCTTATTGCCGCTTCTCCCTCATGGCTGCCCTCACTAGGTGGCCCGTTAGGTCTCTGTCGCCGGCCCTTAGAGACTGTTGTCGATGTGCTCTCGTCGTTGGCCGTCCCGTTCCACTCGATTCGATAACCCCCACATTTGAACCAAACCCCTATTTTCGGTACCTTCGATTCGAACCAAAAATTATTTTACGTTATATTATCGTAACGTAGTGGGAAGAATTAGTGATTTGGTATTTTAATACAAGCGTTGAATTTTGCAGAGAACATCGAATCAAAAATGAAATTATCGCTCTCCGTCGTTGCACGCTAATTTTGAATTGACTCGAATTATGAGAATTGATCGTGGGTTAGTGGAAAAATAGCAAATTTATTTTGGCTTTATTACTTTGATAAAATAGTAATTATTATTATTTTCGATGTAGGAGCTGATTCGGTCTGACTCGCTGTTCGAATTGACCTTGGAAAATATTATGTTCGTCGTTAAAGTTATTTTATCGATGTGTGTCTCTATTCAGTGCTATATTTATTTTAATTGGTTGCTTGTTTGCTTGGTTGATCGGAAATTTAATTGAAAGCATGTCTAATTATAAAAAATTATATTAAATGTAATTCGAAAAAATATCATATGATGCATATTGATCTATCAGAATATATGTTGTACATTTAGAACATTCAATTGTGTTGAACTTTCGAAATAGAAATATATGCTTTGAAATATTTGATTATGTGATTTTTACATTTTGATCGGATTAGAATTTAGATATGTACATCATGTTGTCATATCATACTGGATTAGGATTTATGGGAGAAGTTTAGTGCATTCACTCGACGGGATGAATGTCACTTCGAATTCAATAGCCTTTGCTTTTGTAGCAAATCCCACTTCAGATTGTATAATTGTAGTCGGATTCAAATGGCATGAAAGGAGTACGAGTGCATTTACATTCACATTTCATTCAGACCATGAATAATATGACTTAAACTATGAATATGTTTGTCTTATTACACTTTAGAGACTAAATAAACTTAATTGCTTACAATAGTTTCTCTTTTGAGTATGGAATATAATTCGAATTTATATTTGTAGCTTTATTTTGAAATTATTATTATTATTATTATTATTATTATTATTATTATTATTTATGCAATTTGATACTTTAGAAATTATAAATTCGTGCTTGATTTTTCATATATTTATCATTTATGTTGAGTTTTCTTTGAATAATTCTTTTTAATAAGATTTTGAAGTTTGAACCAGTGGCATGTTTCCATAACTTTAGAACTAATTTTTATGATTTAAATCAAATAAGAATTTTGTAAGGAATAAGTTTCAATGTAAACTTTCTATATTCGACCTAATTTCTTCTATTTTAGGTTTAGGGTTATAAAAAGTGTCCATCCTGAAAATTTATCTGTGTTCACCCTAAAATCTGAATTTTTTTATGTTGTACATTTTACTAAAGGTTCCCACCCTAAAATCTTATTTGTGTCTACCTCTTACGAAATTTTTTCATTATTAATACATGTTTCCACCTTGAAAAATATTTTTGAATTCGTTACTGTTGACGACATAATGTAAACATGGATTCAATTTCACTAAGTTGTGACATAATGTAAACATGGATTCAATTTCAGAAAATACAACTTAAATAACTTTGGAATCATATTTTATCATATCCTAATGAGCATGTTAATCTCCAGCTCGAACAATCACCAATTTTTTTAATAAAAATAACGAGTATAAAACATATAAATAGTCCGTATTTTGTAATTTTATAGTTAAAATACTTTTTATAATTTTATAATTAAAAGATTATTTTATAACTTTTAATAATCAAGATTAAAACAATATCTTACAATCAAGTACTATTTATATACCTTACCATTAAAAAATATAGTAGTTGACACTTGCAACATTTTTATGAAATACAAATGGATTGATGACAATTAATTAAAAAGATAGTGGTTGATACTTACAATAATTTTAGGAAATACACAACATTTTTGTTTTGGGAGAGGGGGTGGAGATGATAAGATTAAAAACAAAGATGACAATCATTACAAAATACATCAAAAAGCAACAAAAATAAAAATACAAACAGGGATTAAAAAGACACCCTTATCCATAGAATATTTTTTTCTTATTTACACTTCACCTCCCCCACACAAACATGCACTAATTTGCATTCATTTTTGCATCCCCATAATTGATGAACATTTGTTGTTGCTGTGATTAGCTATGAAAATGGAAGTGAAATTAAGCATTGCTCCTGAAAGATCCGAGGGCTTTAATGGCTGCTGCTCTTAGGATGAATTGGTGGTAGAAGGCAGCAATGGCAGCTCCGATGAAGGGTCCAACCCAGAACATCCACTGCAAAAATTAAACCATTAATGAACACTCTTCGTGTTTTCAAATTGAAATGGAAATTTATAGAGGAAAAGTGAATAAATTTTACTTGATCGTCCCAAGCCTTTTCTTTGTTGTAAATCACAGCAGCTCCAAAGCTCCTTGCAGGGTTGATGCCGGTTCCGGTGATCGGGATTGTGGCAAGGTGAACCATGAACACGGCGAATCCAATGGGGAGCGGTGCCAACACCTTCAAGGTTTAATCTTTATTAGGTGGGAAAGCCAAAAAAAGAAAAAGAAAATCAAGAGGGACTAATATAGCAAATATTATTTTGTACATACAGGAACATGGGAGTCCCTGGCGCTCCTCTTGGGATCGGTGGCCGAGAAGACTGTGTAGACGAGAACGAAGGTGCCGATGATTTCAGCGCCCAAGCCGGTGCCCTTGTTGAAGCCCGGTTGGAGTTCGTTGGCACCGCCGCCGTAGCTGTTGTAGTAAGTCTTTTGGAAAGCCTTGACCAACCCACAGCCGCAGATTGCACCCAAGCACTGAGCCACCATGTACATGATGGCTCGGATCAGTGATACCTTACGCCCCAAGAAAAGTCCAAGCGTCACCGCCGGGTTGATGTGTCCTCCTGAGATACCGGCGGTGCAGTAAACGAGGATGAAGATCATGCCACCGAAAGCCCAAGCAATACCGAGAATGCCGACGCTACCGCAGTCCGGGTCAACGGTGTTCTTGGCCGGGTCGGTTTGGACTTTGTGGCCGATCACGGTCAACACCGTGACATACAAGAAAAGAAGAGTGGCAATGAACTCGGCTATACAAGCCCTATAAAACGACCATTTGGTGAGCTCGTCGAAGTCGATCAGTGGTGCCGGCGGAGGATCGTGGTAGTCCTTGGCAGAAAACTCGCCTCCGCCTTGCTCCGCCGTCGTCTCGATATCCTTGGCCATGTGTTCCCTTTTGCTAAAACTGAAAAGGAGAAAGGAAGAGATCTAAGCTGTGGGTGAAGAGAGGTGAGAGAAGCGGTATATAAGGGGGAAATAGTGATGAATGATTAAGGAGTTGATAATGTGTAATAACATTATTTTAACATTTATTCTCAGCCGTCCAATTCACCTTTCATCTCCATTTTCTTTGTTTGCATGGTCCCACCCTTATCTATGCAACCACTAGTTTTAAAAAAAATATTTATTCAAGTAATGTGTGATTATAATCCATTTTATTCTCAGGATCATATATATTTAAAATTCTACTTTATACATTAATAATATAATTCTTTAAATCCAATCTTTTAAAAAAATATTTCTTTTTATTATTAAAAATTATTCAATAAATTCCTTCATTTTATATAATTTTATTCAAGTGATGCCTTGATAATTTTACAAGCAAAACAACACCAACAAGTTGCAAAAAGGTAAGAAAGACAAGACACTTTAATTCACTTACTTTGGTTCCTTTCCACCAAAAGAATCATTGCAACAGCCTTTTATTACATCACAATCAAACATTTTGTTTAGAAATACAAATTCTACAATCACCTGCTAAATACCCCAAAGTAATAATAATAATTTTTTAATGTATAAATTATGTAGATTTCAAAACTACATGAAAATATGATAATATAAAATAAGAGTACATTATCTTGTTTTAAACTATGAAGATAAGTAGGCCAGATTCCTTAAAGAGGCAAAACGGGCGTATGTACCTAAAACCCTGTTTACTTTTCTCCAAATATATGTGTGGTGGTGGATGTTTTGTGCTTCTTCTCTAATCATTGATGTTTATAAGAGACAACCACAGATGTGCATGTATACCAAATTTTAGTGAAGAAACATACGTGAGAAAACATGGCATATGCCAATTATTTTTACATCTTCTTTAACTTGTTTTTAACTGCTAATATTAATTTAATTCATGCAAATAATGGAGTTGTGTAATGTTAATTTAATATTTTATTAGTTTTTATTTGATTTAGACCTTTACATTGATTCTCTCCCATCCATGGATATTTACAGTATCATCTATATATTTTACTTGAGTTTGATAAAATTCATTTGTCATTATTATTATATGTATATTTTATTAGTATTAGTGATGTTTATCGTTCACTAATGATATTTGTGCACTATGATTTTTTTTTATTAATCTTAGAGTGATTACAAGATAATAATTATTCGAAAGATTCTCGATCTATTTGATAATAAACGTTCTAACACCCCTAATATACGATTCACTTGAATCTGAAACTTTTAATGATAACAACTCTCCATTTAACATATTGAAGTGGTTTAGTTTGTCTAATTCTTAAAAAAAAAACTGATTAAAACGTTTGATATATTCTAGTTTTTGTACATTCGCTTTATAATTTTATTATATTGTTTATTTAATAAAATTAATAATAATTATTAATTAAAAAATATTAAGCTATCAGGCTAATGATTTCTGTCTATTATAAGATTAATAAATAAACAACTTAAGGATACCAACCAATTAGACTAACAATAATACTGACATTATTGTATAAATGGACCGACATGCCACCTCAATTTTACATATAAATATATACTTCCCAAACGTTATCATCAAAATTCTCATCATCGTAGTACATTTATAAAATAATTTCTAATCATTCAAACTTAATCAAACTGCATTCGGTGTCTCTCGTGGTTGAACTTTGATCTTGTTGCCTTCTTGAATTTGAGTTATGGCTGGAAACACACCACGTGTCTCCATCTCATGCCCCATTACAAAATCAAATTCGACTCAATTCTATCCATCTATGGGTTAATAGTGACCCATCGGGTGGGCGGTGGGTAGGAAATTTCAAGCAACGTTTACACTGGAATTTATATTTATAAATATTGTTGATGAAAAAATATTATAATTGTCATGATTGTTCATGGGTTATTCTTCTGAGTTTGAAGCAACAGTGATAGAAAAAATATATATATGATGGATCTAAAAATTTAAAAATAAGTTTAAAATTTAAATTTTTTTCCTTAAAATTAATGGGTACACAAATTTTTTTATTTTTTATTTTTTCCATGACACGATAAATTAAATTTAACTATTTTTTTAAATAATGTGGATACACTTGGCGCTCGTGGGGGAGATTGAAAGAGAAAACGTTTAAGGTCACTTTTGTAACTGTATACAATGGTTATATATTAACTCTGTATGTTGATATCATACTTAAGATGATGATGATTATTTATAGATTAACTGATACCATCAACAATGAAAATATGATCTACGAAGAAAGTCAAGAAATAATACAATAAATATATACAAGTAAAACTTGTTTTAAAGAGTTTGTTTTAGCCTAGTTGGTTAAGGTTTTTATTTTGTTTCAAGAAAGATATGATCTTGAGTCATTAGTTTGATCAATTGGTCTAAAGTTAAAATATAATTGGTCTTAATAATGAAATGGCATTGACATTCCAAGTCCTAACTTTGTACCCTCTCCTAACAATAAAAATAACAAGAATTATCAGATTATAATGGTCAGCGGCTTACATTTAAGTGTGTAATGTGATATTCAAAACCTGTCAAAAATTTGATAATGTGAATGTAATCTAATATATTTGTGTTTCTTAGGTAAATTATATTAATTATTTGTGAATATGTTGCTATAGTTTTAAGTGTTAATATTATCAACACTCATAATTTGCCATTTGTAAAAACTTTACCTTATCCTTAAGGGTAATTTTTTTAAAATATAATTTGTAAAATTCTATTCATTATTGATTATCAAATAATTATAAATTAAATTTTTTAAAGATATTACAAGGTAATATCCGTTAAAAATATGCCTTAGTTATTAATAAAACACACTCTACAAATACAACTATTTGGACCCAAATCCTCTAAAGAAAACAATACTATCATTTACCACCGAGACCACTCAATGAGTTTTCTTCAACTATTACCTTCAATTTTTATTTTCATAGCCCTTTTCCATATGCATTTTTCATATTTACTATTAAGTATAATTCTCCCTTCCAAATGAAAAGTAATGGAGAAATTAATCCCAACTCCTCACCCCTAACACATGAAAAACAAAACAAAAAGGAAATGGAGATATTCTAGGTGCAAACTAAGCGAAAAGAAGCAAATCCTAGCATCCCAAGATTATATATTTACCAGTTTCTAATGCATAAAACTGTCCATAGAGCAAAATGACACCTATTCGCTCGGGAAAAAAAATGTAACCATGATATGTCCTTACAAGTCAAACATTGTGTAGATAGGGTATCGAAAGAAAGATGTGACACAATGAAGAACATGCAATTGTGAAGAACAATTGATAACAGATAATAGTAAGGTATTACTAGTTACACCAAAGTTTTAAGGCAACAAATGCGTTTCGCACAGTCACCAGATATTCCATTTCAAAGTAATGGTAAAAGAGAAGAGGAAATTACATGACAAAAAATATACTAAAGAAAGTCTTCCACGCACATGTATTTAACCAAATGCTAACAAACTATATTCATAGCAATCATGAATCAAGGAATCCACTGATATGCTTCTGAAAAAATAAAGTGGGCCGCCTCATTCCCATAACCATTGTCATAAACCAAACATCTAGCAATGAACCAAAACCTACTAAACATATAACAGATGGTGTGCACATAAAAAATGGCTGATTGCTGCACACAATAGACCCGTAAATTGGAGGAATCATGTGGGTCTTAGATTGGATATATTTGGGTTTTAAAGGTTTTTCAAGTCGGGTCATTAAATCATTTTGGGGTTTATCACTTCAAGTCTGGGTCATTTCCAGTTATTTGTTCAGATAAATTCAGATTTGGGTCAGAATTAGGGGTTGTTTCAAGTTCAAGTCACCTTGGGTTCGGCTTAGTTTAGGTTCGGATTGTTGACTTTTATTGTAAAGTCGAGCTGGATCAACTAGACCTGAATGCTACAACTAACAAAGTATGTAATCGTATGGCAATAACAAAACACTCAAACTGCATGTCTTACAAGCAATATCCAAAAGAATCAAACAAGTTCAACATTCATCATAACCATCTAAATTAGCCTAAAAAATCCAAAACCTTACAATTAAAAAAAATTAAGAAAAAAAAGGAAAACAAGGATATGATTTTAAAATGTAATAAAGTTTACTCACTCCAAAGGAACAGCAACATCACCATCATAGATCTCCTGCTGCAAATCCTTAGGATCTTTCCCATCAACCGTACAGCCAACGGAAACACAGGTGCCCAGAATCTCCTTCACCGTACATCTCAAATCCTTAGCCATTGACCTAGGCCTCATTACCCTAGCAATCTCGATAACGTCATCGAGCGCGATGTTCCCGTTATGTTTGATGTTCTTGGTCTTCTTCCTATCCCTCTCCGGTTCCTTCAACGCCTTGATTACAAGCGCGGCCGCCGACGGAACCACTGTGACTTTGGCCTGACGGTTCTGTACGGTAAGCTTGACGGTTACACGGAGTCCCTTCCAGTCCTTGGCAGTTTCTTTGGCGATATCTTCTCCGATCTTCTTGGGAGAGAGACCGAGCGGACCGATCTTAGGAGCGAGGGAACTAGCTGCTCCGACTTCGCCGCCTGTAACGCGGACGAAGACGTCGACGACTTGGGTGGGATCAAACTTGGGCGGCATTTTGACAGAAGAAATATGGCGGCGAGGGCTTTCAAAGAGTGGAGTGTACAGAGAAGAGAGAAAATAGCTAGGGTTTTCCCAGCTTAATACTTAACCTTAGGAAACATGAGAAGCGGAGGAGGGATGCTTCTGTAATTTACTAATTTGAGAGACTACAATGGATTGGGCTCAAAAATTGATGAGGTTTATGTTTCTGGGCTCTTCTTACAAAATGGGCTTTGAGCTCAACAATTTTGTATATCAAGCACCATAACTTGTCATGCCAAAAACTAATCACAAACCACTCAGCCAAATCAATAAAATTGGTCCAATTAGGCATATCATTAGTGAACAAACTATTGTGACTATTTTACCTTTAAAAGAGGGTTTTTCCCTAAAATGAATCCTTGGGACTAAAATAATCTAAAAAGAAAAAGAAAATTAAAGTGACTATTTAATCAAACGCTAAGGATTGTTTTGTTCTAAATGAAATATTTATGACCAAAATGCTCCGCAAAAAATTATAGGCCAAAATGATTATTTAGTCAAACATTAAGGTATTTTTAACATTATACCTTTTTATAACAACAAATATTGGTCGATTAATTCATATTGGATATTAAAGAGTTTATTTTGAAGACGATTCTTTCGATCTATTTTACTTTATTCATAATATCATAATTTAAACTCCTAATTTTACTAAAAAAAATATAGCGTCTTATCCTATTAAATCAAATGATAACATGTTAATTAGACATGTCAATAAAAATTAATGAAGCGAATTAATAACCAAATATAAATAATCACGAGTAGTCTACAACTACAATATCATACTTTTAATAAAAAAATTAATTTAAAAATAATAGTTATCATTTATTTTATAAAATGTGAATTTGTATTTAGTTTAAATTTTGGATTCGTCGTTGATCTTTGTGTTAAGTAGGTCGAATACTTAAAAATATCTTTTAAAATAATTTTAAGGAAAATCATTTTAAAGATAAAAATTGGTCTGTGTGTCACCGAAATTCATTTTTTTAAAGATTCGGGAGTCGATTACATTAGGGGAATGATTAGCACCCCACAACTTCCAAAATTGGTACCTCTCGATTATACGTTGTCTAAGTAGTAGAACTTTATATAATTAAATTTAAAATTTAAATTACAATCTTTTTTATTTTGATGGATTTTGAAAATGAGTGAATTTTTTTTCAAAACAATAAAAATGATTTAATTCACTATGCTTTATTTAAAATGATGTCATCTTGTTGCGCGAATTAACATAAATTGAAATCCAATTTTATTGGACGTAATTTCATTAGTCCACGACGCAAGACGACATTGCCTTGGAATAATTAAAAACACGAAAATAAATGCATATTTTGAAGATACTAACTTTTTACCCATTTTTATTTATTATTATTATTATTATAATTATTATAATTATAATTATTATTATTATAATATATATATTATTATTATTAAAAAAATAATAGTTACAAGCCCAAATCCCAGGCCCAACCAGAACCGGCCCAAACCCAAAAGGAAACCCTAAACATTTATGGTTTCAACTAGGGTTTCTAAACCCTAGCTCTAGCCGCCGCCTCAATCTCAACCGTTGTATCTGAGAGATCCAACGGTCCACACTCCTCCAGATGCAAACCCTAGGGTATGATACCCTAGGGCCACGCGGCCGCCGCAGCTGCTCCCACCATCTCCACTGCTGCCACGTCTCGTCGAAGGCTTCTAGAAGAGCCACTCCAGCCGCACACGTCTCCCCCAAACGGTGAGTCACCACTGGAAGTCCGGTGACTCACCGAAGAACCCCTTTTGGACCGGTCTGAAGCCATCACCGGTGGTGGCTATAAAAGCCACTGAGCCCCTGCCAACAAAAGAAAAGGAGAGGAAGAACGGAGAACAGAAAAAAAACCCACAACACAGCAATCAAAAACAAAAGAAAAGAAAGGAGAGAAGCTTACCGAGGAAGCCACGACCGCCGGACCTCTTCAAACGTCACCAAAACCTTCGAAAATCGAAGGTACTTTCTTAGATTTGCTCCGATCGGGAGCTATTTAGGAGAAAAGAACACCGGAACCGTCATTAGGACGGTCCGATCTACGCCGGTGAACGGCTGCCGGCCGGTCGCTTCTCTGTTTTAGAGAGAAGCGAGAGAATTTTGAATTCTCTCAGAGAAGAGAGAGAGAGGGAAGAAAGGAAATGAGAGCTGGCCCTTCGGGCCAGCCGGTTTCGGGCTTTAAATAGCCCTTCCCAAACGACGTCGTTTCGGGGAGGGCTATTTGTGTAATTAACTAAGGGTTAAATCCCGTCCGCAGTCATCCTAACTTGTAATCCTTACATTTTAGTCACTAAATCAAATTTATAATCCTTTTAATTTGGTCTCTAAATTTTATTTATTTATATTTTAGCCCTTAACTGTAATTATAAATATTTTAGATAAATTACTGATTTAATCCTTTAATTTAAATAAATAATATTTTAATCCTGAGTATATATTTTTAATTTTTTTTTAATCTGATATTCGAATTTTATATAATTTTATTTTAGTCACCAAATTAATAAATAAGGAAAATGACATGTTTAATCCCTATAATTTTAAATAATTAATTATGAATTAGGTATTTAATTTTAATTTTATTATAATTTAGTCACTAATTTTAAATATTTTCATTTATTTTACTTCTTTTAAATATATAGTTCTAATTGTATTTTTATTGTTTTAATTTTACTTGTTTATTTATTTAAATATTATTTTTATTATTATTATATAGTCATATAAATATATATTTAATAAATAATAATTTATATTTTTTTATATATAAATTATTTTAATATTTATTTATTTATTTTTCAATATCAAAGAAAAGGGAAGTCTTAATACAACTGGATGTCCTATTCTGGTATTTTAAAATTAAATATTATAAAAAATTATAATTTAATTTTATTTAAATTATTATATTAATATTTATTAATATCGAAGAAAAGAGTTGTCTTAAGGCACCTAGAAGTCCTTTTCTGATATTTCTAACTAAATAAATATTTTATTTATAAATATATATAAATTATTTTTTTTTCTCATAATTATAATTTTGAAATAATAGGATTATAAATTAAATATATTTTGAATTTTTAAATTTCTAATAATAGAGACAATTTATAATTAAAAAGTACCAATTTTGGGCCTTGTAGGGGTGCTAATCCTTCCCTAAACGTAACCGACCACGAATCCTTTTTTATTATTAAAAAGAACGAATTTTTGGTTAAAACGCAGATCAGTTTATATTTTAATTGATGTTTTCTTAAAAATTCTTTTAAAAGATTTTTTTTTAGGTATTCGACCTACTTGACCCAAAAGGCCGATGGCGACTCCCAAATTATTTTCAAAACCATTTATTCACATCACTTTTCCCGCCAAATAAATACTTCGTGCCCGGACGAAAACCGGTTACGACAGCTTGGCGACTCCGCTGGGGACCCGTCAAACTTTTAAAATCAATTATAAATTGTCTATATTAATTATAAATTAAAAATTCATATATTTGATTTATAATTCTTTCTTTTCAAATTTTTTATATACTTATTATTTTCATAGCATTTATATTTTTTTATTTATATTTCATTTTATTTACAAGTATTTTATTTCATTATTTATTTTTTCTGTCAGAGGTTTGAACATTTCTCCTCACACACAACACTTGCATTGCATAACATAAAGCTCTATAATTGAGTTTGTCCCTTTTAAGTGGGAGTGAAAGCGACGTCTTCGTGAGAATTTATTCTCCGTGTCAGACCTAGCAAGTAACTTTCGGGGTTCACATGTTCTATGTCTTCGTGAGAATTTATTCTCCGTGTCAGGCATAGATAAATGTATCCCCTCGAATTGAACTCGATCCACTTTAGTCTGTGATGGACTAGGATTGAGGGTTAGCAACCCAAGGGGGCACTAACAAGGACAATTCGAGTACCTTTATTCTTAGATCTGAAACCTTGCATATAATAAACCCTAGAAATCCTTCCGATCTGAAGCCATGCCAAAATCTTGTCCAAAATAGGTGTACACACAGGAGAAATTAATTCTAACTTTCTTTTTAATTTATTTATTACTGATTAAATTACATGTAAATTTAAATTATTTAAATTATGAAAAAGCATGTTTAAATAAAGATATTTAGGTAGATATTATTATTAAATTTCTTTATTATGTAAACTAATTCATTTCTTTTTGTGTGTTCTTTATTTCTTCTGTTTACATAGCATCATACAGGATAAAAGGCATTGATCCTCGTGTTAATTGTCTCATTGGAAAGCCTTCATCCATGGATAAAAAGTGTTCAAATCAAATAATTTTAAACTCAGAAGTAAGACAGTGGGCTGAGGACTTACAAAGACAAGGAGGAGACAGTCTGCAAGATGACTATGTATCGGACTTGGCCAGTTATGCTCCAGTTTCGCTAAAAAGAAATGACATGCAAGATTTGCGAAGCATTTGGGAAAGTTGGGACTCAAACAAAAAATTACAGTTTTATCAGACTTACGGAGACATCTCATATTTGCTCTATGTCGAAGTTGATGATGACTTACTTCGAGCCCTAATTCAATTCTGGAATCCAGGGTACAATTGCTTCACTCTCAATAAGGAGGACTTGGTCCCTACTATTGAAGAGTACACACTTTGCTACATATAGAAGGGGCTTTGGAGAATCGAATTTATTCAAAGTCAATTAAAACTCAACCCTTTCGAGTTAAATTAGCAAAGATTGCCGGAGTACGAGAAGAATGGGTGGCATCCCGTACAAAACAAAAAGGCAAAAGCGAAGGCATTGCTTGGACTAACATTAAAGAACTTATTCAGAGTCATCCAGACACTAAAGTACGATTCGATCTATTTGCTCTGGGTATGTATGGTATGGTCATCTTCCCAAAAGTATTGGGATATATTGAAGCTGCAGTAGTAGATTTGTTTGAGCAGCTACCAAAAAAGATTAATCCTGCTTCTGTAATTCTAGCAGAGACTTTCAGATCGTTAAATGCTTGTAGAAAGCTAGGAGGTGGAAGATTCTCAGGGTGTACCCA